ATTTGAATATTTAAATATATAAAAACAATCAATATCTTTAATTTTATAAATAAAATATCCATTGATTTAGAAACATTCAAATAATAATTCTAAAATAATATCTACCACAAAAGAAACATAATTAAATTAATTTAATGGGAAAATTATTCATATGGTCAAGGAATTAAATCAATAATGGGGCACTCCACCTTCAACAGTGGACTACAGACCACACTTGTTTTATCATGCCGACCCAGCGTTGCCTTTGACCCACAGTCCAAGCAGGGGCTCATTAGCGTGTCACCAAAGTCTGGCTGATGAGCCAATGGATCGCAATCACAGTCTGTGGATTTCAGGTTCTCCCCTAGAGACGAGTTAATGTCACCTAGACCTAATGCGACCACAGCTCTATGACACATCTGAGTATCTCTCGCACATATATGCGCTTCATCCTAAAAGGTGGCTTGCTCGCTTTCCCGAACTGTCTATCAACGTATATGCCGTGTGATGGTACATGGATGAGGCTTTGACCTCTGTCTCCGTAGGACACCAACATACACAAAGGTCACACCGTCCCTCGACTCTCTCATCCGGGCATACTCCGACCTCATCATAGGATAACCCACTAGAACCCTTCTCAGTTTATTTTCTATGCCCAAGCAATATGGGTTTTTTCCAAGCACAATCCTGTATCTACAAACCTCGTTTGTATGATATGGTCTATGAGGGACCACACTCTCACTGAGTCCATAATCCACTGTATCAAATGTCTCATCACAATCACTCATAAGGCCTTTAAAGGCCACATAAACCCAAGAGTGATATCGGGCCAACGTGTAAAACACCCATTATGAATGTCTTTTTAAAATAGGTGCGGTTTGTATAGAGCTTAGGCTCTAAACAATCAAATTAGAGCCTAACTTCATATAGTGTCTAGAAATGTGGTTTTACTACTAGAAATCTTTGTGATAGCCTTAAAATATATATTCATAAAGTTCAAAGCTTCAAAAATAGTGTAGATCGACAGATCTATGAAAACTTGAAAATCTAGAAAATTGATGGTCTAAAAATGCGTTACAAAATACATGATTTCCAAAACTTGAAATCCATTTTTTTCTCATGTCCATGCATCTTGATATTGAGATGATCAATTTGAAGATATTTGGGCATGAAAACAACCTCTTCTAGTGAACTTTTTGAGGTAGGCTGAAATTTGATTGTTTAGAGCCTCGGCTCTATATAAAATTTTCCCTTTTAAAATTGACACGCCTTCCTAAATATATAGTAACTTTTATGAGATTGTTACTAGACCATTTATCTTTGTTACAAAGAGGTCACAGTTACTCGTAGCCATCAAATGTCACATTGGGCAGCGGCTACCAATGCACTTCAAAAGTTCGAGAAAAAAAGAATTTGTTATGGTTGTTAAGTTCAATATGCCAATATTCTTTAAAATAACACTCACTCTATCCATTGTAATTATGTCATCTTTCAAACAGAAAAATTTGAGAAAAACCTTTTGATACACATGAAATAAATGAAAATTGTTTTTTGTTTTGGAAAATGGTTTCTCGCGGGCTGGACCACATGACTACATATACGGTCCAAAAGTGTAAAGCATCCATCTTAAAGATGGATGCAAGTAGGTGTTCCATCTAAAAAAATTAAAACTAACGGTCCAAATATTTTCTTACTGTAATTATTATTTCTAGTATATAAAATTTACTTATTTTTTCATATTCATGATCTCTAGTTAAAGATTGCATGTCCTTAAAATTAAGTCAAAAAATCCATCTCAAAAATAGATTTATTAATAGGCCTGCATTTCTACATATGTGGGCTTGGCCCCATAGAAACCGAGTCTTTTTTATTTTTATTTATTTTTATTTACTTTTATTTATTTTTATTAATTGCTCGTACAGTACTGCATATGCAAAATTGACTTGCTCTAATAGGCAATGGTGATTCACATAATCACAGCCCCATAGAAATCCCTCACTCGTTTTGATAAATCATGGTGAGCTAGATCTAAATCTAATTTGGATCTTGGAAGTAACTCAATGTGTATCCAATTGGATCGTTTCCATAGAGTGAAGGTATTCTCTTTGGCTATGACTTTCTATTGCTGTCTGGGATAAGGTGCTCAAAAGAGTACAACTTAAATTAGATCTATGGAAGCCAAAATATTTGTCTTTAGGAGGGAGAGTGACGTTACTGAGATCTTGTTTGGCTAACCTTCATGTCTATCAGATATCATTAGTAAATATACCTGCTTCGATCGCAAGAAAAATTGAAAAGATGATGAGGGACTTTCTTTGGGGTTCCTATGGTGAGGAGCGGAATTTCATTTGTTAAGATGGGACAAAGTTTGCATCCCTAAAGGGAAAGGACGTTTGGGTATTCGCAAAATCAGAACGTTTAACCAAGCTTTCTTGTGCAAAAGGTGGTAGCACAGTTTCCATATAAAGGATCAGCTTGGTACCAAGTCTTAATTTCCAGATATGGTATGGATAGACAAGAAATCTGGCTTGGGGGTGGAAAGGGTAAGGATACTTCTCTTGTATGGAGAGTTATTTTTAATTGTAGGCCAATGATCTTGGGTTATTTTAGATGGACTTTAGGCTGTGGTGATCAAGTTTCCTTTTGGCACTATAAGTAGCTAGGGGATTATCCATTGAAGGCAATTTTTCCTGAGATGTTTAGGACTATTATAAGGCCCAATTTAAAGGTAAATGAGGCAATAGAAAGAAGGGGTTGGCTTTTTGCGTGAACTATCTTTTTGGCTTATAGTCGGTTAAATAATGTACTTGTAGCTCAATGGTGTGAACTTATGAAGATGTTGGATAATGCCTATACATCTCCAAATGCAGAGGATGAGATGTTTTGAGAAATTGAAGGCAATGGTGTTTTCTCTGTCAAATTATGTTATAATCTTTTCTTTCATGATCGTAGGAGATGGTCTTGTCCACATATTGCTCAAATATGAAAGTGACCGATTCCACACAAAGTTCAAGTTTTTATTTGATTGGCGACATTGGACAAAGTTTTGACTATCAATAACTTGATTAAAAGGGGAAAAATTCTCCCACATGTTTTTTTGATGCTCAAGGCTGATGGAGAGTATGGTGCACATCTATTTATACATTGCCCTTTACTGCGATGATCTATTATTGGCTATTTGGTATTTTATGGATACAAATGGTGCTTCCTCAAGTTGTGGCGGGGATTGTTTCGCACTTGAATGTACATTTTCTGCCTAAGATTGGTAGAGTAGTTTGGAAGATAGCAAGATGTGTGATATTATGGGAGGTTTTGAAGGAAAGAAATATGATGACATTTGAAGGGATTGCTATTCCTTTTGATAGATTGATTCATCTTATTAAACTTTTGATCTGGTCGTGGCTATCTGTTACTAAGGAGGGATGGGGCATTTCTTAGGTAGATGTTTTGGTTAATTTAAATAATCTCTTCTTTCTTGGTGTTGGTAGTATTAGGTCGAGATATATTTGGATTGCTCCGTTCATAGGAAGCTTAATGCTTAATTTTGATGGGAGTTCTTTCGGAAACCCTAGAGTAGTTGGAATTGGAGGTGTGATGCGCGATTGCTTTGGTAATATTTTATTTACCTATGCAGGTCCGATACGTATTGCCACTGCTAACTTCGCAGAATTGAGTGTTTTGCTTAGTGGATAGAAGCTTTTCATCAGTAGAAATATTAGCAATAGCGGTTTGATTGAATGAGACTCCTTGAATGTGATTAGATAGTGCAATAAGGTTCAGAGAGTCCCATGGGAACTACGTCCTTTATGGTTGCAGATTATGAATATTGCAGCTAATGTTTCAATCTCTTTCTCTCATATTTATTGCGAAGCTAATAATGTAGCTGATTTGTTGGCTATGGGTGGAGCCTCCCTACCGTCTTTTGTTGTTTCTGATGATGTAATTTTCTTTTTGTAGTTTTTAATAAAAGTAGTAACATTTGTTAAAAAAAAAAAGGTATTCTCTTTGGCTTCAATATTTTTTGGTACGCTAGATCTAAACAAACACAGAGATATATTCCCTTTGGCTTCAACAAAAGTAACGGATTTTCTACAAAGATATCATTTATCTTTATTACAAGGAGGTGACAACTATTACCATTCATTAGATGTCAAACCGGAAGGTTTAGGATGAGTTACAAAGTTCGAAAATTTTTTTTTGGAACTTATGTGTCTATTCAATGACACTCCTACAATCACTCATTTCAAAATTTAAGGAACAAGTGCGATTGTGACTTTCTTACACAAAAGATATATGATCTTTTTGTAAATAATCCCTAAAAATAAGATATGAGAGAGAAAGATTATCCTCCAAGTTCGAGTAATTGAATTGGGAAAGCAGACTTCCTCTAAAAAGATGAGGTGGGGCCTTAAAAAATACAAGAGAAGAACAAAGTAATAGGTCCTCTTGCATTGAAAAGGGCTTGCTTTTTTTAAATAGAAGTTGTTCTGATAGATATTTTGGTTAGTACCCCATTTAAGTGAGATAAAGTTTTGATTGCTCTTTTCAGTTTAACAACGGGAATGAGATTGATGATCGACAAGTTTTGCTGGTTAGGAGAGCTTGTTTAAAAAAAAAGAAAGCTTGTTTAAAACAAAAACATGCGAAGTTATAAGGGTAACTATGTAAAAGTATGCGATGTAAGTCATTCATACTATGAATTTCAGTTTTCTATCAAACAACCCCTCTGATGTAAATCACATATATTATGTATTATTGTAGTTTGTGTGTATTTTTTACTTCATATCCATGCTTGTATTGTAGGTGGTAGTCACTTTGATTTCATGTCCAACCTTGTGGAATTCCAATATTTTAGATCTTATTTTTACATCTAAGTGAGATTAAAAACTCAAACAAAAAACCTAAAATTATATAGGCAAGCTTTCTATGCTTCCCCCACAACACAAAATTTATATACTTCCCCTTATCCAACTGTCCATTCTGAATGGAGGACGAAGATTGCCCCAATCACAATGTCACGTCTCTACATTATTTTATTTTTAATTTATTTTTTATAAACTCTTTTGATACCAAATTTTGGACGTCCAATCCTCTATTATACTCGCACCAACGAAAAAATATAAAAAAATATTTTCAATAAAATTAAATAACCAAAATACCCTTGAAAGTTTCAAAGGGTATTTTGGTCATATTTTATCGAAAAATTATTTTTAATATTTTTTATAGGTACACCCCAATGAGAAGATGTCATGTACCAAATTTAATATTCATACAATTCGTATAAAAAACAACTAAAAATAAAATCTTTTGAGATGTCGGATCTAAGATCAAACGGTAAGTGGCTCTCTTGATCAAAATTAGACGGCTGGTGGTAGGGGAAACATAGATCTTCTATACTGCAAGGGAAGTATAGAAACCTCTATCAAATAATATTGCGTATTCTTTTGATCTGAAATTACAAAAATTTGATTAACCAAATTAATAATTAAATAAAAAAGACATTGAATCCTAAAATGGTATGCTCCCATGTTGGAGCATATCACAGTTTGAAGTTTTAATATTTTGTTTGCAGAGGAGCATGTAATCTTTTTCCTTCTTATAATGCATCTGCCTGTTGGTGAATATGGCCTGTGTATAAGGAAGGCTCTATATTGGAATGAGGGGTATTTTATTTAGTGACAAAGACATGGATGTTTGCAGCAAATACCTCAAATACCAATCTCTTCTTAACAACTTTTACCTCAAAATGAGGTATTTTGTAGTAAATATCTCTCAAAAAAAAAAGTCATTCATTTTTTTTTTTTGAAAAAAATACTTTTGTTTATACATGATGATATCACATCTCATAAGACGTCAAACAATTAAAAAGAATGCCGAATCGAGTCCACAATGTGTCGGATTGAGTCCACAATGTGCCGGACTGTACTTTAGACCTATTGATGGACTATATGGATCTATTGTCAAACTGCATGGGCTTATTGCCGAACCACTCTTTGACAGTGTCGGGCGTATGAGCCTATTGCCGAACCGTTCGTTGATAGTGCTGGTCAGCTCGGTTATACTGCTTAACCGTTTTATGGAAAAAGTTAAGTCGATGTTAAAAAAGAGAGGGGCCATTTTGGTCTTGAAAGCTGCAACCTTTTGACCGGGGGTACTTGCTATAAAAGCTTGTTGCGGGTAAAACTTACCTCAAAGAGCTTAGTTGGGGTAGGATGTAAGGGAAGTTAATGTATAGGGTTTTGTTTGTAATTTTCGTAGTTTGGTTGGATAATTTATCCATCCTGCCCTAAGATTCTTTTCAAGCCTTGAAGGTGCAGGGAGAGATCAGTGAAAATGGTGAACACCAAGAAAACGGTACGTGGAATTTTTGTTCTTCCATAAATTGGACCGTCCTTTTTTTTTTTTTGTGTTATGGTTTTCTCTCCTCTTCTTTTTTTTTTCTGTCTTTTTTTTTCCTATGATTAATGCACTTATACATGTTTTATGGCATATTAACCATTGCAATGCAGTGATGCTTTTGTGCTCTTATATTTTTAATGTTCAGAAGAAGACCCATGAGTCCATTAATAATAGGTTGGCTCTGGTTATGAAGAGTGGGAAATACACTCTTGGTTGCAAGACTGTACTTAAATCTCTGAGGAATTCCAAAGGTATGGTCACTCCTTCTTCGCACTTTCGATTTGTCTCAAAAAATGATATTTAGCCTGCAAAATAATAATTTTTCTTTCATTACCCAGAAATGTTTTATGTAACACAGATTAGTTTATTCATTGTTTCTGTCTTGTTAAAAATTTAAGAGGAATTTTGTATTGTTTTGTGGGCTTATAAAATTTTTCTTTTTGTTATCACTATGTGATATTTGCATATATTGTTTGGGGTCCCTAATTGAATTTCTCATTGTTTTATTTGATGGTTATTGCATTCGTTGTATAACCAGTAAGATTATCGATATGGAAAAATGTGAACTTTATGAATGCTATTAAGGCATGTACGTTTTGAATGATGATGAAAAACCACTGTTATGTAATGTGAACGAAGATTTGAACAACTATTTGTACGTTATGAATGATCTTTCTGCAAAACAAAATTATAACTGATTAAAAAAGAAAAAAATAAAGTTTATATTTTTCTGTACTTCTCTATGTAATTCACTCAATGTACTCCTCTACTATTATTACTATCAATACAATGTTAACCTTTTCAAAAAAAGAAGAAAAAGAAAAAAGAAAAAAATAAAGTATATGAATTTTGTGATAAAAAAGAATTACATGGTTTGCATGGTTGCTATTTAGGTGTGTTAATCTTTGACAGGGAAGCTGATAATTATTTCAAATAACTGTCCTCCCCTGAGGAAGTCCGAGATTGAGTACTATGCCATGCTCTGCAAGGTTGGGGTGCATCATTTTAATGGAAGTAAGCAGTCCCATTATCCATTCATTTGAACTTTTATACTTTTTATTGTCATAAACATCTATATATGCATACATGATGTTTTTTATCTGCACGTGTTTGATTTTGAAGGTGTTATATTCTATCAATCAATGCATTAAAAAGCAAGGGGAGGCGCCTAGGTAGGCTGCCTAGGCGCAATGCAGCCTTCCAAGTGGCACTTCATCCTTCAGGTGCCCTTGCCTTACAAATATGCATAGGTATTTGGTATGGACACGGTTTCTATGCGGCCAGCCCGCATGTTGTAGGAATGCAGTCTTGGCAATAAATATACTTTTGAAATATAATTTGATCCTAATTTTAGAGAATATATAATCCTTAACATGGAGATCATGAATATGAAAAAAAAAAATTGAAAACTAGAAATTATAATTATAGTAAGAACACATTTGGACCATTAGTTACACTTGTTTTTATATGGACCACCTATTTGCATCCATCTTTAAGATGGATGCTTTATACATCTGGACCGCAATTGTAGAAATGCGGTCCTGCCCACATGAAACAATTTTCCATTTAGTATTTCTCAAAAAACATACATATGTATTAAGTATATAAATATATGTCTATGTATGGTATCATGTTAACATGTATACATGTAATAATTTTTTTTATTTTACATGAAGTATATGTATAATCAATTGAGCGTTACAAATTTGAATCATGGGAAAAACTCAAAGTTTGAAGTCATTAGCGAAATATTGAATCACATTTCACAGATGGAGCACAACCAACAATATAGTCACATTCCCAATGCCTCCGTGTCCAAGAACAAGACCATAAACTCGAATTACTCAAATAAATAACCACAAGTGTAAAGCTTTACTCCTAACCCCACAAGGTTCCGAGACGGAGCTTAACCTGAGTCTTGGTTAAGAACGACGATGATCTACGTTTCACACGGCGCACGATTCCATGGATAGTTTCATTCGACATCGTGATGGAGGACATAGCTTACGAGCATCGGCTTTGATCATGCCACTAGGCATTTGATTAGGACACTGCACAATGATCCGAACACTTTGTCGCATCTCTTCGATACGGACACAGTAACGATCATAGCGATCTCCTCTGGTACCTACTGGTACGTCAGGATTCGATTGGTCATGAACATCGTAAGGTGCTGCTCTTCGCGAATCCCAGCATACCCTTGGTTGGGATGGGTAGGTATAGAGAAAAGGACACAAAAGGAACAACAATCAAAATGAAAGACCCTGTTTGCTTGATCTCCAATTCTTAATGTTTTGGGTGAATCTCCAGCTTTAAATCACCCAAAACCTCCTCTTGTAGCCTCTCTTAATTTCTTACAAAGAAAAAATCCCAAAGGCAAAATCGTTTCGTCCCCCCTTAAGTGCATAGCTATATTTGGTTGCCTTCCCCCATTTTAGGGGCATTTATTTTACCCAAACGTGGTATCGGCTCCTGGCCCCACTGAAATATCCATGAAAAAATTATTTCAAAAGATACAAACTGTAAAATGGCTACAAGAGGATATTGTTCCAGGGCTATGCTCAAACTTCGGACATTCACATTCTTGGTTCCACCTGCCAGACATCAAAGTAGCGAATTTGCATTGAATCTAAACCCTCACCTTGTAAGAAAGAGGAATATGAAATTTTCTTCTGAAATGAGTCGATTGGTTTTTTTATGCCACATGTTATAGAAATTTGGTGGTGGCATGCTTTGCCTCATGATTTATTTCATTATTCCTTGTATAAGTTTCTTGATTTGGCACGCACATACCCACCTGACCCAAGTTGACCATGGAATTGTTTGGCTCAAAATAACTTGTGCAAATCCAGTGATAATGTAATTTTATTTTGAAAAAGGAGCATTTACTTATTGTAGTTAGAAGTTTTAGACTTTTACCTTCTGGGTTCTTTTGAAACATGGGCACCTTATCTTAAGTTATGAACTTATGCCACCTGTTTTCCAAATCCTAAATTATGGAAGGTACTGGCAGAAGAAACATATGCACATTAGCCTTCTTTCTCACTCTCAAGGTTGTTCTTTCTTTTATATGGGGGGTTTCTATTATAAAAGAATTTTCTATGGCTTGAGGGGTGCTCGTGGGCCATGCTTGAAGTCTTCCCTTTGGTTGATATGTTAGAATCTGGATGGCAAATTAGTTCAGTGTTAAGTCTACCTGTAAAGGGGAACCTTGTTGGTTATCTGTGTGGTCAAAGTGCTTTGCTTCTTGAAGTTCATGGGTTTGGTTCTCCTAAACAACTTGGTATACATGCATAGGTGGAAGCATTGTCATTTTATGTTTAAGTTGTCATTGAGCTCACTCACTAAACGGATATTCTGGCCTTCTCTTTAGTATGAACAATACCAGATTTGGACCTAGTCTCTCAGTTTATTGCCATCACTCTTCTCCTGTTCTAATTTCTCAAAATTATCAGAACTCTAAGCTTCTCCATAAAACTTTGAAGTGGTAGGTTTTTCTTGACCCTGGCTTTTCTTTCAATGTTAGCAATGGTTGTCATCAACATCTTCAATACGCTTCAAGGTGGTCTTCCTGTTCTCACCTTGCCATTTCCATTTTGTTCTATCTTGCAAACTCTTATCTCTTGAGTGTGAAGCTTACTCAAGGATCAGAAAGAAGGAATTTGGTTGCCCAGGTAAAGCACTAGCCGTATATCTCTTGGGCTCTGGAGATTGTTCAAGCATATGCTTGCCAAAGTAAAAGACCAAAAAATATGATAAGAGAATAAATGACCAATCAAAAGAGAAGGGGAGTGAAGTACAATTTCGTACTGATAAACAAGCATGTCCTTCCTTTCTCATCATGAAACTTCAATTTTATTAGGTTTTCTTCTTCTCTGCCTTTCTGTTGATTATCTTGAGGAGCCCGTTTCTCTTGCGAATTGTGGGTTAATATGAGATGAAATTTATTGTCATCAATAAAAAGGAGGGAATTACATTTGTCTTGAATAATTCAAATGAGAGATTTTATTCCTTCCTTACATATCCGTTAAGAACATACACATCGCGCACACATTCATAAAAGAACCCTCCATATATCTATGTATATGTGTCCCGTGTGTATAGCATGATTAAAAGCACCCTTGGTACATAAATAGTTTTGACACTCCCTCTTAAACTAGTGCCTCAACTGATTTAATTGATAGATTCTTCCCCGAGTAACTTTATACGTCACTTCAAAAAAAGATAATATTTGTCTCTGCATGGTGACTTGGTCGAAATGCGATGTGTTCTTCGTAGACAATAACATAGAAGACTGACAATGTAATCAATTAATCCATTCGTTCTGTAATGTGATTACTGTCGAGCTCAATGCATTTAGTCCTGTCACATAATATTAGATTGTTACTTTGTTGCAATGACATTAGTCCTATCACATAATATAAGATTGGAGGTTCTTGGAATCTAACTTCTTAAAACTTGAATTGAGCTCAAAGTCATATACTATATGATCTCACCAATATGGCTTTTCATATGTTTCCATGTATTTTTTATTCAATACTGTTGTACCTTGTGAACTTGCACCATGGAAAAAGTCAGTCTTCTATAGGAGTAGAATACGATCACCCAGTCCTAGTTCACATGCTACTTTCTGGATGTCTAATGACAAGCGCATTACAACATCATACAATGGAGTCAAGCAAGTAGATATGATGATTTGCTAGCTAGATGCGAGGCCTGTGGTGCCTGAATAAACTGACCCACCACCTGGATTGCTATGTGTGACAACTAGTCTAGTGATGTTATATTAGAGTTCTTTAACTAAACTATTGAAAAAGATCATAGAGTTCTTTAATTAATTTTCTGAGAAAAAAGAGTTTTCAGAGGACCCGGATGGGGTTAGACTATGAAGGAGATTTTTGAATGTTCCTTATTGGGTTCTAGTGGAGTATCAATTCCCCTTGCATGCAAATTTCCTGTGAATTTTTTTGGACTTTCAAGTAATCCTGAAGTGCTAAGAAATATGAAAACTCTCCTGATATCCCTGAATTACTGAAGGTAATATCCCCATAATTACTGAAGGTAATATCATCATTATATGCGAGGACCAAAATTGTCGAATCACTTGAACATCAGGCAAACTAGAGTGGTCATGGGCCATTCAAAATGTAAATCATTTCTCCATAATATATCAAATTTGAGAGTTTTTCTGAGACCATAATGAACTTCCTGAGCTGTTCTGAGACCATAATGAACTTCCTAAGCTGACGACTTATTATTGATTGAATAAATAACTAAGATGAGACTTCATGTGTATGTTTCTTCATATAATCAGTATACAGAAAGACATTCCCAATGTTCATCTGATAGAGATACCATCAATGCATGCTGTGGCAAGAATCCGTGTCCTAGGTCGATAATGGAACCGAGCACTAGATCCCTTTGCATTCTATATGATCTCATAAAGGAAACAGCATCCAGTTGTTTGTATTTTATCTACCAAAACATAAAAATATTATTTTGTTCAATATAACTTGGCTAGAAATGATCAGAACTTAGAAGAATATAAAAATGCTTAGCAAATGGTAAATAAGATAAACTTAAGGCATATGATAATCTATAAAGTAAACTGGGAACAAGAAAAGGTGGAAAAAATGTCTTCAAATTAGCAAAAATGAGAGAGAAAAAGTGTAGGGATCTAGACCATATTAAATGCGTTAAGGCTGAGGATCAAAGGGTCTTGGTGAAGAAGAGGTCAATGAAAGATGGAGAGCTTATTTCAAAATATTATTAAATGACAAACATGATGCAAACACAGTGGTAGAAGGATCCATTGGCATAAATGAGGCCGGAGGTCATAGATACACTCGTAGGATTAGGATATTGGAAGTGAAATAAGCTTTGACAAGGATGAAAATAGGAAAGGATTTAGGACCAGATGATATCCCGATAGAGGTTTGGAAGTGGATGAGAGAGATCGACATTGATTGGGCTAACCAAGCTGTTCAACAAGGTGTTGAGAACACAGAAAATGGCAGACGAATGGAAGAAAATTACTGTGGTACCTATTTACAGGAACAAAGGAGATATGTGTGAACTATCAAATGATCAAACTTATGAGCCATACTATGAAGCTATGGGAGAGAGATTGAGCAACGGCTAAGATATGAAACTAGTGTATCAGAAAATCAATTCGGTTTTATGCCAGGGAGGTCAACAATATGGGCTATTTTCCTACTTAGACAACTGATTGAGAACTTTAGTGCGAAGGGAAAATACCTTCATATGGTATTTTATTGATCGAGATAAAGCTTGCGATAGAGTACCTCAAGATTTAATTTGGTGGTTGTTAGAAAAGAAAGGCGTTATTAGATACTACATTGATTTGGTGAGAGAGACGTACGAGGGAGCACAATCAGTGTGCGAACAACTAGTGAAGAGACGATTGAGCTTTTAGTGATAAATAGGTCTACATCAGAGGTTAGTATTGAGCCAACGGTGAGACCAGCTTTGCTTTATAGGGCGGATTGCTGATGGTCAAGAAACAACATACCCATAGGCCCATAAGATGAGTGTAGCTGAGATGAAGATGCTGCGATGGATGAGTGACAAGACAAGAAGGGATAGAATTCAAAATGAAGACATTCGGGAGAACTTAGGTATGGCTCCAATAGATAATAAGATGAGATAAAGTAGACTTAGGTGGGCTGGCCAATGTGCAGTACAGACCTAGTATGACACTTGTTAGGAGGTGCGAGTTGGTTCAAGTGGAAAGCTCAAAAAGGGCAAGGGTATGGCCCTTGATATGGTCCTTGATGTGGCTCCAAAGGACATGGTTGGAAGTAGTGAGAAAATATATGGTGACTTTGGCTTCACTAAGGGTATGGCCCTTAATATAACATAATGATGGACTATGATTTATGTAGCTGACCCCAAATAGTTAGAAAAAGGCTCTGGTGAAAATGATGATTCTTATCTTGTTCGAAGCATCAGCCTCATGTGCATGGATTTTTTTCTTATAATTGTTATGCTTTCGCTAAAGTTATTGTTTTGGCTGATTGTGTAAATAAAGTGGATGCTGAGATGGTTCGTGCATTATCAATGTATACTGTGGCAAGAATCCACGTCTTTGATCGATAATGGAACCAATCACTAGATCCACTTGCCTCTTTTTCGATCTTGCAAAGGAAACCACAGCCAGTTTGTTAATATTTTGTTTACCAATATATAAAAATGTTATTTTGTTGGAGGCATCAGCCTCACATGTATAGATTTCCCTTGTGTATCGAAACTTGGAAAAGTGGGGTTGATTGTCCACCCCGCAGATCTGTGTTGGATCGCTGGATTGCTGGATCGCCAATCGAGATTGGGGTTGTTTTCTTTTTTAGGAGAGAGAAGAGGAGAGGGAGGGGGGGGGGGGGGGGGGGGTGTGCAGTGCTATGCCTTCATGGAGCCGGTTCCGTCCCACCCCATCTGAACCAGTCTTTTATAACACTGCATTTCCTATGATAGTTATGCTTCAGATACAGTAGTTGTTTTGGTCAACTGTTCAAATCCAATTGGTTGTTTGATAGATAGTGCATTCAATAAACCCTTGCTATCCTACTAAGAAAAAGAAAAAAGAAATATGGTTGTTCTTTTTTTTTTGAAAGTGGAAAAGAAATGTGGTCGTTATGCTTCACAATTCCTCGTAAGAAGAAGGAGGTTCTGCAGATTCTCAGTTTTGCATGGGAGATGAGGAGAAGGTTCACCCATCATAAAAAGAGGAATGGCTTTTTTCTGGAATGGAATTTTTTGTCTTTGTTTAGAATTAGATCACCCTTTTGTTTGTTTCCTTCTTTATTGTACGTGAGAGACCTTTGCAGATCACTCTCCAAAGAAAGCTTTGCTGACTGGGTGCACCAAAAGTCTGCCTCCTTGTGCTCCACCTTAGCACTAAAATTCAACTTGGTTTCTGCATGAACTGGTTAATTGTTAGTCATATCACCACACATACCCTATATTGTCAAAAATGGTTAATTGTTAGTCATATCACCACACATACCCTATATTGTCAAAAAAATAATGAGAGTTGTATAGCTGAAGTGTAGAGTGATTGTGGATGGCTATGTATGTATCTTTTGATACAGAATATGCTGTGTGAACATTACATGACAGATAATACTAGAATTGAATGCCCATCATGCAATAATTTCGTATAAGATTACACAGTATCATGGGAAATTGTTTTTTTTTTTTTTTTGAGATTTAGATCATAAGAAATCTCTTGAGTCTGGGACCTTGTCAAAAGTTTTAAACCTTTGGGAATTGATTTCCACTTTGCATTTTTCCTTTAGACAACGTGGATTTGGGGACAGCATGTGGAAAGTATTACCGTGTTTCGTGCCTTAGCATCACAGATCCAGGTACTAGTCTTAGAAATATTATTTTTTCCCTTTGTGCAAGTTCATGGAATGTAGGCATGTGATATACACTCATGGATGCCTTATTTGCAGGGGATTCTGATATCATCAAAACTCTACCTGGGGATCAGTAAGTTGAGCACAATGCTGGAGAAATTTCAGAAATGGATTGTATATTTTCTTTAGTGATGTTGACGAAGAACATAAAAAGTTAGTTTGAGTTTGGCTTAGGTGCTAGCCATATCTTGGATTTCACCAAAAATTTTGCATGGTTATCAATGTGGAAGATATAATATTTTGTAAACCCTGTCATGACCTTTGTTTCTTTTATGGGTTGAATTGGTTTTAGTGAGAAATGCAGAGCTGTTCTTGAATCCTTTGCAGTGATTACCACATAAAGAGTGGTATTCCCTTGGAATTGTATACTATAAAACTGCTTATCTTTCAGATAAGGTGACAGTTACCCCAAGCCCTTAGATGGGAATTTGGGTTGCTAAGGTGCATTTTTTCTGCACAATGCCTGTTAAAATTTCCCTTGAATTTTGAACATGGTCAATGGCACACCCTGGTTATACCATTTCACATTTGAAGGTTAAAGGTGATTGACACTTTTGTGTATAAAAGTTAAATGGTCATACTTTTTTCTTCTTTCTTTTTCTTTTGCTATATATGGAGCTCTCCCTCTATTTGCTGTTTTTGCAAATTAACTTGGGCAATTCCCCCCCCCCCCCCCCCCCCTCTTTCATTCATATGTGGCTTCAAGACATTTATTTTATTGTGTGAATTATGTGGCTTCAAGACATTTATTTTATTGTGTGAATTTTGACTAAGACAATCTCTACAGGTATGTGTAGTCATAAATTCTGACCTCTCTCTCTCTCTCTCTCTTTCTCTCTCTGTCTCTCTCTCTCTTAGTATGCGTGTTCATGAATTCTGATCTATCTCTCTCTAGAAAAATGCGAACTGATGCCACCTTTGAAAACAACTCCTCCACGCATTGGTTGCCCAACTTTTCACCCATGCTAAAAATTGAGGGACCCATCGCCATCGAATCTCCATCTCTCTTGCCAACGTCTCCCCGATGAATGGCCAAGATGTTCTAAACAAGGGGATCACCACTTGATTGAGATCCTGTACTCTCATCATGGACATCCAAGAGCTAGCCCATTGGGTCTGCACGCCCTCGCCACCAAATCACCACCCTCGTTCCCTTCCTCTGCAACAACCTCCTCAACATGTACCCTAAACTCAACCACACCAATAACCTCTCTCTCTCTGGCCCACCAACGCTTTGATCAAATTGCCTGATCCCAACCTCATTTCATGGTCCACTCTCACATCTGCCTACTCTCACTCCTCCAATCCTTCAACCTCTCTTCCTCTTCTCGAACCTCCCCTTCACTCCAAATGAGTAGGTCTATGGTGCCACCTTGGGCGCATCAGCTTGCCTTTTAAATGCTCAATTTGGTCGACAAATCCATGCGCACGCCATGAAATTAAGTTACGAGAAAACCACCATGATGTCGGCCTTGCTTGTTTCGCTTTACATGAAATGTGGTATGTTTGACGATGGGATGAGAGCATTTAGCGACATGCAGGAGCCCCAAGTATCAACTTGGAATTCAGTGATTTTGGGGTGCGTAGATAACGCGAAATGTGAGGAAGGGCTCGAGCTCTTTTCACAAATCCGTACACAAGGGGTGATGCCTAATCGATTCTCCATAGTGGGTGTGCTCTCTATTTGTGCAGGGGCACTTGAGCGGTCGTCATGGTGTGCTCATCGGCTTCATTGCCTGTCAACTAAGCTAGGCCTCGCATCCATGGCCTTCGTCGCCAACTTGATCTTGACCCTCTACTCAAAGTGTGGCTCAAGCCTCGAAGAGGTCGAACATTTATTCGATGAGATAGATTCGGACACCATTTCATGGAACGCGTTCATGGCTTCTGCTCACACTTTGGTGACCAGAACAAAGCTCTAAACGTTTTTGCTAGTATGGAAACCACAAGCCTAGTGCCCGATGCTCACTTTCTCGAGTGCGCTTGCTGCCTGCACAGGCCTTGCATCTCTCGGCTCCATGGTCTATGTGTGCGCCCTGAGGACCATGCAAACCGCCCTGACACTGCACTATGCAATGCCCTCCTGACCATGCACGCGTGCTGTGGTTGCATAGACCGAGCGTACATTGTCTTCAAACTCATCCCTATCCGAAACATAGTCTCATGGAATGCACTCATTGCTGGGCTCACGTGCCATGGGTTCAGGCTCGAGGCGATATCGACTTTCGAGGCCATGCACAAAGACTCGAATGTGCCATCCCCTGACTCGGTCACGATTGTTGCTTTCTTAACAGGGTGCAGTCCCTCAGGTTTGGTAGAAGAAGGGAAGGTCTACTTTGAAATGATGGTAAAAGATTATGGTATTGAGCCTTTCATAGAGCATTTATCTTACTTGATTTATGTGTTGGGGTGGGCTGGTCTTGTTAGAGAGGGAGAGGAATATGCAAAGAAATTTGAAGGAGAGGATTTAGTGAGTGGGGGTAGATTGCTTTCAGCTTGCAGGTTACATGGGGATCTGGAGGCTGAAAAAAGAGTGGGTTCGAGGATTTTGAAAATGGGTCCTGATGTTGGGTCTCTTTATGTGCTTGTCTTCAATATGTTTGCTAGAGAGAAAAAGTGGGAGGAAGCTGGAAAAACAAGGAAGGTGAGGAGAGAGAGTAGGGCAAAGAAAGAGGTTGGGTGGAGTTGGGTTCAAATGTGAGGTGAGTTTCATAGGTTTACAATGGGGGATTTTGATAGGGGCAAGCTTTATATGCTTCTCCTACAACATAGAAGTTCTATTTTTTTCCTTTTCCAACTATCTATTCTGAATGAAGGGTTAAGATTGTTCTAATGACAATATCACGTCTCTACATTATTTTATTTTTAATTATTTTTTTATAAACTATTTTGACACCAAATTTTGGACGTCTATTCCTCTATTAAACTCGCACTATCGAAAAATATAAAAAAAATATTTTCAATAAAATAAAATGATCAAAATACCCTTAAAATCTTTAATGGGTATTTTGCTTATTATATTTTATCAAAAAATTATTTTTAATATTTTTTATAGGTGCGCCCCAAAAAAAAGATGGCACGTACCAAATTTCACATTTATACAATTTGTTTAAAAAAAACTAAAAATAAAATACTTTGAGATGTTGGATTTAAGATCAAACGGTCAGTAGCTCTCTTGATCAAAATTGGACAGCTGGATGGTAGGAGGAGGATAGAACTTCTATATCGTTGGACAAGCATAGAAACCTGTTCCTTTTGATAATGCTCATGTGAGGGAGTTGATAAATGTGTTGGGGATCTTTGAACCCTGCTGGTTACATGAGACGAGAGTACTATAGTCATTTTTACATGCATTTTTTTATGGCAAAGTGGTTGCTATAACAATCTATTGAATGGTTTATTTGGCTATGAGTTTTGGAGAATCTAGTAAACTTCAATTCTTTTTTTTCTTTTTTTTTTTGGAGATTATTTGTATTTAAGGGCCACTATTTGTACCATAGGATGTGTAAATTAAATTCTCCCAACCACTATTTGTACCATATGATAGGTAAATTAAAGGGAAAATTACAAAAAAAACCCCAAGGTATATTTTTTATACAACTTAGCCTTTAGCTAATTTTTTCTCTCATTTTTTTCCAAAAACAAACTTTTTATGCAAATACCCCCAAGGGAAAAAGTTCATTTTTTTAGACGAAAATGTCCTTCCCATAGCATATTGCTGGAGCGCACCTAAATAGTGTCGGAGCCCTGTGACTCAAAATGCTCCACTGCTGGAGCGCACTTACACAGTACCTGAGCGCTGTGTTACACTGCCGAAGCATACTTACGCAGTGTCGGAGCACTGTGTTATACTGCCGGAGCGCACTTACGCGGTGCCGAAGCATTGTGCCGTTCCTGTAGCACATTGTCGGAGCGCACTTAAACAGTGCCGCAGCCTTGTGACTCATAATGTTCCACTGCCAAAGCGCACTTACGTACTGCCGGAGCGTTGTGTTACATTGTCGGAGCGCACTTACGCAATGCCGGAGCGCACTTACACAATGCAGGAGAGAGGCGTGGGTAAAGGGCAAATTAAGGGTAGTTTTGCCTTTTTTTTAATTTTTGGGATGGTTGGGGGGTATTGGCTAGAAAAGATTATTTTGTGGAAGAAAGTGAAAGAAAAGATTTGTTGGGGGTAAGTTACATAGTAAGTTTAGTTTGGAATTTTTTTTTTTTTTTCGTAATTTTCCCAAATTAAATCATCTCCCAACCCAAGTTTTACAAGAAAGGTATTCGATGTTGAGTACGTATACTAATCTCCTGTGGGAGCATATTCTATACTTACTCCCTCTTGCATAAGACTAACTTGGGGAAAAAAATTATATGAAATTTTGGGAAACACCTAAAAATCACTAGATGATTATATTTGAAATTAAATATTTGAATGTTGAGTTTTCTAACACTTAAATCTCGCCTTTAAAAAAATGGGACCGTTTCTATTCAAATTAGATATATATGGGTCTGAGAGCATGAAATCTTATGGCTTTTTGATGTTATATAAAGAATACTGGACTTGTTGAAGGAATTTCATAAGAAAAAAGGGAAATTATCAAAAATATACTTTAATTTTCAACTTACTAAAAAAAATATATATATTTTTCTAAATCTCATCCATACCATTTTTCTTCTTTTTTAATCTTTTTTTTTTTTAATCAAAATAGCCTCAACAGTAGTCATATTACCGTGAAGGCATGATGTACTACGGTACTTAAAGTACCGTAATGACTCTAAAAAATTATAAGACACTTAAAATGCCAAACTGTAGAAGTGTGTGGCTCTGTCGACCACAGTGGCAGTGCAAGGAGATGATATAGATGAAGAGATTCCTCTAAGATCTAGGCTTAAACCTGACAAGTATGTCATCCATTTGACAGCCAAAATACTATTCACTTGAGCAAACTAGCTTCCATTTGAGGACGAAGCACATTGATGTGTGTTACTATTGGATTTGGGATATTTTAGAGAAAAGTTAATACAGTTAGAGAAGATCCATATTGACAAGAATACGTCAGAAATGATGACCAAGACCTTAACCAGATATAAGCAATAGCTATGCAGAAATATGGCAGGCATGAGTGGCATCCGGCACTCGATTGATCTGCAAAGGAAAACCTCCTCCATGGAATAGGAGAGAAAGATTGTTGGGTGTCTTGTCCCATTGTGGGAGGGGTACTAATAAAATTGTCTTTTTGCTATAAAGGCAATTTGGAAAAGTAGAAAATGTTGACTTGTTGGCCAAGTCATCATTCATAGAAATATGATATCTTGATGGTTTTGATATGGGTAGTTATTCTTCTTTATCTCTATTTAAAAATAGATAGAGATGAACCACTTTTAAGAAGGTTATGAGGTACTCTTTTTATAATTTCCATTATCCCTTTGGCTCATATATAAAAAGCAAAAACGTGTGAGAGCTATTACGGGTGGTTGACTCTTTTTGATGTATTGAAATAGAAAGCTTTCTTTTACAAAGAAGAAGAAAAAAAAGAGAGAGAAAGTTACCTTTCTCTTAGAGAGAAGAGCAAGAGAGAACATTTTCTTTTAGATAGAGAAAGCTTCCGAGAGAGAGAAGAATATTAGAGAGAGAAAACCTAGAGAGAGAAACTTTCTACACGAAAGTAAAGACTTTTAGAGAGAAAAAGCCTCTAAGAGAGAAAAAACCTCTAGAGAGAGTCCCTAGAACCAAGAGAGCTTGTTTCTTGAAGGACTATTGTAACATTTGAGTTAATAGTAAATTTGATATATTTCTCAATTGAACGTAGCCTGAAAATATTGTAACATTTAAGTTAATAGTAAACTTGATATCTTTTTCCATTGAACGTAGCCTGAAAATATAAACCACGTAAACAGTAGACCTGAAAATATGAACCACGTAAACAATAAGTTTTATTTCTTCTTTCCTTTATTTGCTTGTTTTCCCACTCATACACACATATCGATATTGACATATTTTTTGCACGCATTCGCATTTGTGCGAGAGGGCTCTAATTGGGTGCGCCTAATAATCTGAAGGATGGGAAAGAAAAATGCAACCCAAATAAATCAACAGGATGAGAGAGAAATGCAAGCCCTAAAATTCACCAGGCCTGCATATAAGCTAAAGAAACCCCAAATCTCACCATCCATTGATGCGATGTGAAGCTAGTCTTAAGGAGAAAGACACACATAGATGATTCCACAAACCTTGGCTTCCTCGATTTCAAGAGAGAGAGAGAGAGCGACATAAGAGAGAGGAGGGCTACACGGGAAAAAGGGGTTTCGTTCTAAAATTTCGAGGGCGGGGCCTATCAGGGCTCCAGTAACTCGTTTTCCTTCCGAGTCACTTCACTTTGGTAAATCCTCACCATCCAAAATAATGGACAGTGAAGAGGGCTGTAGCCCTAGTTATTTTGATAGGGTTGTAACCTTAGTTATTTTGATAGGGCTGTAGCCCAATCAAATCATTTTTCAAAAAAAGAAGGTTTAAATGGAGTTGAAAAATGATTTGATAGGGCTGCAACCCTATCAAAATAAGTAAACTCACTTTACAATTCGTTGAAAATTGCAATTTAAGTATTGGAAAAACTTTACATCAATCATCTTTGTTTGAACATTATGGTTGTAAAAAAAAAAAAAAGTTAAGCTCTATTTTCACCCTAAAAAATAATTGTTCATAGTTCCACAAGATCTGTACTACTTTTTTAGTTTCAAATTTTCTTGTCAGGGTTGAAAATTGAATTTAAAACGATCATGGAGATTTTTGTTGTTGAAAGTATGTTTTAGACAAGGATTTGAGGTGAGGCTTTATTTTGTTCTCATAAAACCTAGGCTTTATAGAAACTTCATCCTATAAAGTTAATCTTTACCATAAAAATTGAAAGAAAGATCATATGATGTCCTATTAAAATACCTTGTTCTTTTAAAGAAAAATCCCATGACATTTCCATGAGTCATAAAAAGAAAAGGTGATCTTTGTCACGACTAGCAATAGGGTCCTACAAAAGCTTTAAGGGTCCAGCTAAATTTTGGTAGCATTGGATCCTTAGTTGAGCCCGCAGGGTCCACGAGGTTCGTAGTAAAGAGTCGAGGAATTACTCAGTAATGAGAGTCAATGGAGCAATTCAACGAGTACAAAAGACAAGACTTCGAGAATCGAACTCTCTTCATTGGGTCACATACCTTGGATAATTTACTACACTCCTTTGTTACTTTTAATTAGTCTTAGTCACAAATGAAACCCACTTCATGGATAATTGAGTGCACTCCCTTGTGACTTTTAATTAATCATATACGCAAATGAAACCTAACTCATGGATAATTGAGCACACTCATTAGTTATCTTTAAATAATCATATTTATTAATGAAACCCAACTCATGGATAGTTGAGCACATTCATTAGTTACCTTTAAATAATCATATTTACTGATGAAAACCAACTCATGTAGGGGTCGCAACGGGTTGGGTAGGGTCCGGGTCTGGATGAAACCCATCACATAGACAATTGAGCACATTAATTAGTTACCTTTAAATAATCATATTTACTACTGAAACCCAACTCATGCAGGTTGGCAACAGGTTGGGTCGGATCCTGGTCCAGGTCCGGCCGGACCCAGACATGGACCTAAAAAAAATTATGGGACCTAGACCATGACCCAAACCCGAACCAAAAATAAAAAATATGT